GGAGTTACATGCATTTGTACCTCATTACTTAGTGGTCAATTAATGACCATAGGCATTATGCACTTTGCTGCTTTCTGTGAACGTTGGAAACTTGGCCGTTGTGCAAGTGCACGTTAGAGGCATTGGTTACCCCTCTCATTATTCCATTCTTTACTCCTCCATTATCCTTGTAACCTATGTAACTCCTAAAACCATTATCTTCACTATTTACTACACCATTATCTTCCTATTCATTGCTAGGAAGACTTCTTCTACTATAAATAGTGATGGTATTCATTTGGCTGTTGTATCCTGGAGGGGACAAGTCAAGAGGACTACTGCTGGACCGGTGAAAACATTTGCTGCAGTGGGCTTGAATCTCCTTAAAGAGAGCGAGATATCCGCGCCTCAGCCTGAAGAGATTTATTTTCTTCATATTTATTTTTCAATTGTAATCTTGTATTTTTTGTTATCTTGTAAGTTTTTCACTAACAGTATCTATTTTATAAGATGATAAATTATCAAAAATTGACGATGCCATGACTCTCCAACATTGTTTTGGTATGAATATATTCATCAGGATTAACTAATTAGTGACCGGAGCAGAATATAAAGATAGATTAAGAAATATATTAAAGAATTCTTGAACAGTTCTTCCTTTAAATCATAACTTTATAAGTCTACAATGTCAAATATGACCAATTTTTTTGGCTAACCTGATAATTATGAAGAGATAACTACAGATTCTATTTTAATGGTTTTACAGAAAGAAATATGAGTGGTCTATGATCGAAATTTCAGAGATACACTTTAATTAAATTAAGATCTTATTACTCCGAATTCATTTTTTTTTATAATTTTATACACTTTTTGACTTACGTGGCATATTCCGTGACTCCACATAGTTGAGGAGCGTGGGAGACATTTGGATGTCATGTAAGCCAAAAAGATATACAAAATTACAAAAAAAAAAAAAACCAGTTCGGAGATAATAGGACCTTAGTATAATTAACATACATAAGTATGATTTAAAAGAACAAAAAAATGCAAGTTTATAATCTTACTCAACAATGAATTCTACTTTAATTTAAAAATTAGAATACTAACAAAATTATGTTAATGAAATAAATAAACATGACATAAAAAATAGATAATACGAATTTTTTTATAGAATTACGTGAATTAAAGGTTAAGAATGAGAAAGAAACAATATAAATAATATACCTTTAAAAAAAAAACTTAGAAAATTTTAGAATAATAGAAATAGAAAACCAATTAAAATGAAAAATAAATAAATTAAAAAGTAATCAACTTATTACCAGCAATTCATAGCCGTAATAATTGAAGAATGTAATTACTTGACCAATTACACTCAATTAGATAACTAACCAAGCCAACAACGTCAATTACACCAAATCCAATTTGCATAAAAATGAAACCACTCGCCAACTTAAAACAACACCATTTTAAACAGAGAAAATGATCAAAATGGTCCTCCATGTATAGGGGTTAATTTATTTTGGTCCTTTATATATATCACCTTATCCAAATAGTCCTTAATGTATATAAAAAGTGTATCATTTTAGTCTTTAGCCCTAGAAACTAACAGAAAAGTTGAAAAAAGTTTTAAAACTGTTAAAATTCACTGTGGGTCCCCACATTTGGTGGGAACCCCTTTTCTTCCTCCCCCTTTTTTCTTCTTTCCCCCAATCTTCTTTCTTCCGCCATTTTTTCTCAAATTTGCAACTAATTTATTCTTCTATTCACTGCAAAAAATCCTCTAAAACAAACAAAGTTTTCTTCAAAATTCAAAAAATGGTTTATATATTTTTATTTTCTACCTTTGTCCGTTCAGTTCTTATTTTTTCTCAAATTTGCAATTGATTTCTCTGCCTTTTTATACAGAAAATGAATATCTTTCCAATTTATGTCTGTGCTTACTTTGGTGGCAGGATCAGGGCCATCAAGAGAGCTAGAAGATCAGATTTGAGGAGGATATATATTGTTGTCAACATATAGTAGTTTATATATATACCATGGCTCCCGGAGGCAGTGATTACCAGGATATTGGTGATTCCCGCAGTGCATATGCTGACTATGGTATTGCACCAAAAAGTGCTGAATTCAAAAACTCCCCCTTTAGAAAAGTTGCAGCTGTTATTGGTGGGAAGAATGGAGCGGGATCTAATAGTGTTGTTCATGAGCTACTTGAATGCCCTGTTTGTATGAATCCAATGTATCCAATGCAAATTTGAGAAAAAATAAGAATTGAACGGACAAAGGTAAAAAATAAAAAATTACAAACCATTTTTTGAATTTTGAAGAAAACTTTGTTTGTTTTAGAGGATTTTTTACAGTGAATAGAAGAATAAATCAATTGCAAATTTGAGAAAAAATGGCGGAAGAAAGACGATGGGGAAGAAGAAAAAGGGAGGAAGAAAGGGTCCACCAAATGTGGGACCCACAGTGAATTTTAACAGTTTTTAAACTTTTCTGTTAGTTTCTAGTGCTAAAGACTAAAATGATACACTTTTTATATACATTAAGGATTATTTGAATAAGGTAATATATATGAAGGACCAAAATAAATTAACTCCTATACATGGAGGACCATTTTGATCATTTTCTCATTTTACACCACCATCGCGCCTGCGACTCCATCACCACCATAACTCCGGTGAGTTTTCTCTCTCTCTCTCTTCCCTCCTTCTTCATATATAATCTCTTTCCCTGCATCTAGATGCTCCCCATCTATGTTTCCCTTGGTCCATGGTAATTCGAAAATAGGGTGTGTGAATCGGTGAAAATGTTGAGCTCCTCTTTTGATATGCTTCCTCATGTTAGGCTTCTCAATGATTAACTTCTGTACCGAACTATAAATCCCGAAATTTGGGAAGGTACCTGACCTCTATTCTTTGTACACACTGCGTTAAATATGTTGTGCACATGAGGTGCTCGATGATTTGTCACACTGAAATTCTCACACTCCGCATCCTGCCTGTCAGTTTAATCAAGTTGGTCTCTCATTTTCCATTTTAATAAAGTAATCCAGTTTGGACTTTTAAGTACACCCTGTTCAAAAATGTATAGGGGAACTATGAGTCTTAATATTTCTATTAGGAACTTCGAAATTTGGACTAAAGTTATTTTTAGTTAAGAATTCTATAGAAGAAAAACTTAGAAGGAACAAAGTGGATTTCTTTTTAACTCACTTGACAACTCTGATACAGTAGGCTTGGTTCCTACGGGTACTAACCGAACATGGAAATGTTATTTTTTTCTTTTTCTAATTGGTTACAACAACAACATACCCAATGTAATCCCTCAAGTGGGTATGGGAGGTAGAGTATACGCAGACCTTACCCTCATCTCATGAAGGTAGATTGATTTTTCAAAAGACCCTTGGCTCAAGTGTTAGTAAATCAAAAAAGAAATATGGCAGTGAAGAAAACATGACAACTAATATGGAAAACAATACAAAGCATTTAGAAAAAAAGAATAGTAACAACAACAAAATAATGTGGTAACCAAAACACAATTGGCAACAAATATCAAAAACAAGAAACTACATGATAAAGGTTAATACTATGACAGTCACGGTGCTCCAGACTCTCTCCAAGCCTAATTCCGCTAAAAAGTGAGACAATCCTCAACTACCTACTAACATTTTCCGCGACCTCCATTCCCTCCTATCTAAGGTTATATTCTCAATAAGTTGAAGTTGCGTCATGTCCGTTCTAATCACCTCTCCCCAATGTTTTTCCAGCCTACTCTATGTCTCCATCTCTCCTCATACCACCATAACCAACCTCTCACACCTTTCGCTTGGACATCTGCGCATCTCTTCATCACATGCCCAAACCATTTAAGTCTCGCTTCCCTCATCTTGTCCACCACGGAGGCCACTCCCACCTTGTTCCAAATATCCTCATTCTTAATCTTATCTCTCCTAGTAGGCCCCGCACAACTATTTCAACATCCTCATTTTAGCAACTTGCATCTTCTGCATAAGAGAGTTCTTGACTGGTCAACATTCCGCCCTATACAACAAAGTGGTCTAACATCTACTCTGCAGAATTTACCTTTAAGTTTTTGTGGTACTTTTTTATCAGACAAGTATCCATAGGTGAGTCTCCATTTCATCCGCTCCTCACCAATACGATGTGTGACTTCATCGTTGATCTCCTAATTTGTCACAACGTTATATATGACCCAAAGATAAGCAGAGTAATCAAAAGTCTACTAGTTAAGGAAAAATCTCACATGCACTTTTAACACTGTTTACCTCCAGATTTTTCCATGGTAAATACTAAACTCTATGTTTGTACCAAATTAAATTAATTAGTCATGGTTAAGTGAATTTGATGAGATGAGAATAAATATTTAACATGGTTAATTGATAGAAGTTTATGTGTAAACACATGACATGTATCTATACACGTTTTGTGTGAACAGAGTACAAATAATTTTTTACTGTTCTTCCACTCTACTCTTTGTAAGTGAAATCTATGTATTTCTTAGTATAAAAATGATTTACTTTCGGACTTCAATTCTAATTTGTCATTGTAGTTAATTAATAAAGTTGTGGAGCATTAGATGTAATAAGATCGGCAAATACAGCTCTAGAGTAACACATGCGAGTTTCATAGATGTGTTATGACTATCTTTGTGTAGTCAGAATTTTACATATCACAACAGCAGAAGCAGACAAGAACCGGAACAAAAGAAAATATATGAATTTTCATGAATTTCACTTCAAAATAGAAAAAGTTATTCTTAATTAGAAGTAAAAAATTAATAATCTAAAACACTCGTTCCATCACTCTATGTCTTCATAACTCCAATATTACTTCCTTAATCAGCAACTTGATTTCTGCAAAAGTACCTTACAAACATTTGGAGTAACCATTAACATTCCTCCAATATTGTTATCCAATAAGAACTCAACTTCTAAACCTTCAGAAGAAGCTTGGAGTGCTCCATGGTTTATGGGTGAATGTACCTCATGATGGTTCTTTGAACTTTCCTACTTAAACTTACCAAAATTTAGTGGAATGACCTTTTCCCCATAATTTGCGTTAAATCTAACGAACATAGATTGTTAAACATTTTACGGAGACGAAAAGTGTTAACTTTTGGCAAACTTAAAGCACCAAAATTGTTCAGTGCATAGGTACTATTTTGAACCTACCCTCGAGCATAAGAAATCTGTTTTTTTTTTTTTCATTTTCTCAAGAACTGCAGATGCTAAATTTAGCCTGTTTGAACCTCTTTTTAACTATATTTCCCTTAGGTTATACTTATTTCTCTTCAACGGATTAGTAGTTTTTTTTTTTCTATATGCTGGAATTGGATAAAGTCTGCTGAAACTGGTGCTGGATAAGATGGATACCCATATTATTCATAAATCAACCCATTATTTGTCCATAAAATATAGTAAGTTGGATAATTCATCCGTTTTTGTCTAACTTGTCCATATTCAATTCGACCCGCTCATTTGCCAGCTCTAGTCTACATGGTGAATTTCCCTTTTATTTTGTATCCAGTGATAAATAGCCTAATTTCGAGGGTCTTCACTGTCCCTGTTGCCATGAAGTAGCTCGCCAGCCCCGTTGAAGGCAAACAACGACATTGTATGGCTATTCCTCTATTTCGAGGTTTCCGAAGACTACCGTTACTTTCACTTCACAGGCCTCTATCCTCTTCCTCTACCTCTTACAGGTAAAGCTTGTCTTTTTAAAAATTTCTTCACTTGTTATTCTAGTTAATTTTGATTATCTGGAGTATGTCTGATTTAGGTTTGATTATCTCCCACTATTGTCTCTATATTCAGGCCAATTCTTGGAAACCCAGAAAGCTTTTTGCACTTGTCAAGGTTTGTGCCTCAGAATAGCTTAATCCGACAAAACCCATGTTGGGACTTGAGGAACTTTAGCCATGGAAGTGTGAATTTTGTTATAACAAAAGATGGGAAACCCAAGTTTGAGACACATGAAGTGGAAGCACCAAAGAAAGAGAAATGGAAGACAAAGAAGAGGCTGAAGCTGCAAAGGAAGAGAGAGAAGAAGAAGAGAAATGCTGCAAATAAGAGGGATCCAAGAAGGCTTGGTCTTAAGGGGAAGAAGAAGAAGCAGAAGTTTGACACTGCTGAAGAAAGAATTAAGCAGAAGATAGAAAATGTGAGCTAATGATTTTCCCTTTTTACTTAGGAGCCAATGATTGATTTTTGCCATTAGTACTCCTGCTGCTGCTGCTGCTGAGGATTTATATCACCTACCCAACTTGTTTGGAATTGAGATGTAGTTCTTGTGTGTTTAGCTATTACCACTACAACTATGGCTCAATCCCGAACTATTTGGTCTTGACTGTATGACTTCTCGACATCCATCCCATTCCATTTTTGGACCAGTATGATAGTTATCTTTATATTAGCTTAATAATCTGCAATAGCATAAAGAATGAACTGAATTGAAGAACTTGGGTAGGGGATTTATAAGAATCTTGGGAATGAGCTTCAACCTATTTTCTTCAATTTGGTTGACAAGAAAATAAATTAGAAGGGGAAGTTGGAAGGAAGATATAGGAAGCTGGAGGAAAATGACAAATAGATCTATACATGTGTTCTTTGTTGGTATTGTTAAACTTCTTGAGTAATCTTTTATATTAATTCTTCTCATTTGATACTCATATATTAGAGCGAGGTTGTAGAAGCATTATTGAACCTGGATTTGACTTTTTCGCTCATCTTCTTGGCTGTGATTTTTAGTAGTAATTGCAAAGATCTATTTTCTTTCTGATTTCAGCGTGGAAATACTTATTGAGTACAGTTATTTTCTTGAAACTGGAGAAAGAAAGGAACCTCTTTACCTTTTAATTACTTTTGACTTTTGTGTCATCTACTGAAAACCAAGTTACAGCAAGTGTGCCTGTTTGCGTGGTTGCTACCTCACTGAAGCATGGAAGACATTTCGTAGTTAAGGTTTTATATCTATCTTACCTTTTTCCTGGTTTAGGTATGTGAAGAATTTGGTGTGGTCACCTTATATTTGTGTTTATTGAAGCCAAGATTTGTTTTATTTCCATTTCCATTTGACTTCTATACGAAAACAATGTAGTTTTGTATTTTAACAAAAGCTGACATGTTTTGTCTTGGGTCAGGCAAAAGTCAAAGAAGCCCTGTTAATTGAGAGACTAAAGCGATATGAGGTTTCCAAAGTTCAAGGTCCTGAGGTTAAGCCACACTTTCTCACTGGTGAAGAACGATTCTATATCAAAAAGATGGGGCAAAAAAGGTCTAATTATGTGCCAATTGGCAGAAGGGGAGTCTTTGGAGGTGTTATTCTTAATATGCATTTACATTGGAAAAGGCATGAAACAGTCAAAGTCATATGCAAACCTGGTGAAGTCCAAGAATATGCCGATGAAATTGCAAGACTGAGTGGCGGCATCCCAATTCAGATAATTGCAGATGATACAATAGTTTTTTACAGAGGAAGGGATTATGTGCAACCCGAAATTATGTCTCCTATTGATACACTGTCAAAGAAGAAGGTAAGGTTGTTAGAGCTAAATTTCTTTATTAAAGTAATTGCTTCTCATCATGCATTTATGCGCGAGTTCACTTTTTCAAGTCTTAGTGTGCATAGTCCTTCTACCATGAACCTCTAGTCATTCCCACCAGCTTTCACTGTCATTCTCTTTCGATTGATGCGTGGATCCTTCATTTTCTCGATCTTCCTATGCCAAACAGGTATGCAATAGGTGTGGGTACTTGTGTGGATGATTTAAAATTTTTCTAAAAATCATCAAAGGCTTCACGTACCCGTAACATATATGTATATCCTATACATACCTGGAGCTGAATCCATGTTAAACAGCTTGTTGTTGACCTGGCTCATAGATGCAGCTGGGTTAATATATCAGGGTAGATCATCTGAAATCCACCTCAACAGCCACTCTCTTACCCTTTTGTGACTTGTATTATTCACTGTACATCACAAAAGAACCACGCCCTTCATTGCACCATAGATACCCCATTACAGTTTGCAATTTCATCGTTTTCCATCAACATTCTTTGTTGCTTCATTTGTCATAAATTTCCACGAAAAGACCGAGTTGGTTTTTGCAATTGTTTGGTGATGGTTGGAACTGTGAGATTTGGTTGCAGAATGTTTAATTCATTGATTATTGTTTAGTTTGAAATTGAAACTAAATGTTGCGACTTATGAGCTTTGATCATCATTTTTTTTCCTCAGGGATGTACACCAAAAAATGACTTTTATTTTACTCGGATTATCTGTTACTTTATATCCTGAAAAGCATAGCGATCTTGTTTTGCAAATAGGCCTTTGGATACTTAACTTACCATTTATGCCATCCCTGTTTGCTCACAGACATTTATTAGTTCCACACTCTGTTCCTCCCATGTTTACTGCTCCTTTGGGAATCAGTTCACTATACTTATGGCATAAGGATTTTACTTTTAATATTATTTGACTCTGTCCTATTTACCTATATCTTTGTTTTATCTATTTTGTTTCAACCATGGTAAGAATTACTGGTCAATTCTCTTTCTTCAGGCATTGGAAAAATCCAAATATGAGCAGTCGCTAGAGTCTGTGAGACGTTTCATTGCCATTGCTGAGAAGGAACTTGAACTCTACTACAGACATGTCGCCCTATATGGTGACCCAAGTAATCGGAGTGCTTACTCCATCCTTGATGATTCAAGAAGCACAAGAGGAAAACGAAATGCTGAGATAGGAGAGGAGAACTATTCAGCAAGCGAATCTAATTTGTCGGATCTTGAGTTGTCAGAAATTGATGATAGTTGTTCTGATGACAACCAGTCTTCAAGTTAATTTGAATTTGAATTTGAGGATACCTACGAATCAAGTAGTGATGACTTGGACTTTGGGGAGGGGGCACTAGGAATTACTTAGGTAGCATATAGGGAACTACTAGTAAATATTCCGAAGTTAATCCTGGTAGTCAAGAATTTCTTGAATTTGAAGATTTGAGACCTGAAATATTGTGGTTTTAATTCTTGCTCTGATAATTGAGGAACCAGAATAGAATAGGAGTTTTCAATTCCAAATCTTCAGTTTGGTTGTCCTGAAAACTGCACAAAAACTAGAATTTGATCCTAAAATTGCCTGAACTAATTCTATAGTCCAGCTTAAAAATTCTGATTCTAATTTATAGTTTACCTTTCCATTTGGTTTCCTTGTATGGACGCTGGACTTTAACAAGAAGGAATGCTGGTGAGATTATCTAGGGGATCCTCCTCCTTGTGTTGGCAATATCTGACCTGATTGTTGATGTTTGTAACTTGATGGTGAAATCCACTTTTATTTCTTCAATTGATGGCTGAAAGGGTTTCTTCAAAGCTTCTATAAAATCTTCGTGGGCATATCTTGGTTACAGTTTTGATTCCCGCGGAACTGCAATATATTCAGGTTTGGTTGAAGAGAAGGGCCAGATATTTTCCTGGTAAGTTTTTGCTACTATATATTTTTACACCTTATCTTTTTGCTGACATGGATCAAATTGGAATTGGTTCTGCAATTTGGTTGATCTTTGATCTTTTTTAAAACATGGGTGGAGTCATTTTATGCCTTCTAAAATTTTGTTTAGGGAATCACTATTCTGGAACTCAAAGCTTGAGCTTCTCTCCCAGCTCTCTCTTTTGTCTTGATTTCTAAAATTTCATATTGATAAATTTGAATTTGGTTTTGATAGTATTGGGGCCAAGCCAGCAAATTTGTAATACCTGATCATCTCATGTATGCTTTTTGGCAAATTTAAGCCCTTATATAGCTTGATTTCCTGCTCAACACAGCATAGTTGTTTTTTGTGATACTCGACTGTACGTTATTGATCAACCTTATCTTGCTTCTAAAATATGATATGTCAATTACGAACCAGTTTTAGCAAAATATACCAATGTTATCTACTTGAACTTTATATCCTAGAGTTCGTACTATCCCTCACTTACAGTTCTAAGCACAATATGCCTCTGCAAGACCTTTCTGCCCTTTCGCATTGTTGCTAGATACTTTGTTCTTTGATTATGGTATGTATATTTTATGTCTGTGTCATGTTTTTCTTAAAATTCATTCAGCAATGGTGGCTGAATTTTGGTAAATGGTACAACCACCTCATCTCGGAATTAACTAGGAAGTAGTAGTAAGTAGTAACACCTCAGTTTTTATCTGTGTTTATCGCAACTTTCTAACTATTTAATATATATGAAGCTGTTAATTAGCAAGCAATAGTTGGAGTTCTTTCAGTACCTTTGAGTTGTTCTTAAGTAACTTTGCTGAACCGATCATTTCATAATTTTGTATCTCTTCTCTAGATATATTGTGGATCAACTTTACTTTTGTCCTTGGATTTTTTGGCTGATATTGATACTTTTTTTAATCTTTCCTCACCCTATTATCCAGACAATGGCTGCAAAGAAAAGCATCATGTCAACGTTTAATAGACAGAGTTACTCGGTACATATGCTTGTGTGGAAGCGAGGAGGTAGCAGATATTCAGTGGAATAGATGAACCGTGCAAAAAAAAAAAAAGAAGGTGGATGGTATTCCTTTGTAACCATGTTTTGTAACATTTACTAATTCTTATTTATTTTAAGAGGCAAATACAGCTTGATTTGTCATTTAAAAGAACATATTTGTATTTTGTAAGTTGATAATTAAAATATATGTATTGCCTACATGTATTTTTTGTTTAATAGAAGAGGATTATTTTGGTCATTTTATAATTTTAATCTCCGTATTCCTTATTTGTTCATGTCTTTTGCTCCACATAAAAAATACACAATTTTTTTGCGTAACTTATGCAAATTTTATTTATGAGGGTAACAAAAATGACAATCAAATAGTCTCATGGATAATGTTATATTTTATGCAAGTATCCAAAGGTTAACCAAATACAGTATAGTCTGCAAGATTTATGCAGGTATTATAATATGAAAAAATTACAGAAATCTCACATTTTAGTTTACTTATTATCATTATCCCCTATAAGTTTTACAAATTTCTAAAATCCCTCATTTTCGCGCATCAGATTAGTGTATCTCGCGCAACAGATTAATGTATCAGCGCTTATATTATTGTATCCGTTTGAGGGATTTCTGTAATTATAAACTTTTAAGGGATAGATTGTAAT